AAATTTGTGGGAAAACTAAATTGCGCCAGATCGTGACTTTTTTTTCTTATATATTACTTCAACAATATTCAAAATTATGGGTTTGAAGTTAATACGTAGGTCAATGTGGCGACAAGCTCCATTAACTAATGAGAAGGCCAACTCTTAGATCAGAACTTCATTTTCAAATGGTAGTAGACTAAAAAATTATGGTTGACATTGACATTGTATTTTTTTCCGTAGAAGAAAGAAAGATATTTAATTTCAATACATAAATACAAAACAAAATTCTTGGGTAAATATTAATATATAGACAGAAAGCTACGAGGAAAAACAAAAACGAGTTATTTCAATAATAATATTTAATTAATTAATTGTGACTTTTAAAGTGATAGTGTTCTGTAGTGTATCACATTTATAATAATTTAAAATTAAAAATTATGTACAGCCGACTTCAATATAAGTTATTAAGAATAACTCAAATAACTCAAAAACTATTGGTCTGACCTTGATCAAATTAAAGTAGTATCAGCTTTCATATAAAAAAAGAATAATCGAAATCGGGCCACCCAGTAAAAAGTTATAAGGTAACACACATAAAAAAAAAACATACGCGTCGCATTGAGTATCGTCTAATTTTTGGAAGTCGGCAGACAAATAACGAACAATTTATTTGTCTTATTATGAAATTAAATAATGCAAAACACTTCATAAACGTTACGAGGATACAGGAAAATCTTAGTTTCTAATTTCAATTCTTACCTTCGCTCAATGAAATAATACAGCGACGCGAATATTGCTGTGAGAACTGAACTGGAGCTCACCGTTAATAAAAATAGTAATAAGAATATTTCCTTAAGATAATTATATTTTATTCAAAGTGTCGTTTTTATTTTCCTTGAAGAAGCATATAATAAACAAAAAATTTAAAAGACAATTTGAATTCAATCTGTAATTTATGAAAAAAGAGACTTTTAAAAAATCTTAGGTCGAGACAATTTAAATTTGAAAATGCTAAATATACTCGCAACTTACTTTTATTGCAATTAATAAGAATTCTCATATTTTATTGAAATAGTACAAAAAAATTCATCTAGCATTCTGATATACCATGCACCTATCAAGAGGCTGTATATAATGCAAAAAAAATATAGCGAAATCTTGTGACTTTTGCATTTATTCTTCGCAGGGTAATTTATTTAAAATACTTCTTAAGTTAATATACATAAATAGATTTTAATTCTGATTTAGGGCGTCAGCTGTGGACACCCACTTGGTTACAAATGCGCGTGTTTATTTCTTTAAAATTTTAGAGCTACGACATGCTGGCGACCCGAGACAATGCTTTGCACTTGCGACGGGTCCTCGGGACGTGTACATAGATAGGTTACCCTTTTTTAAGAATAAGGGGAAAAACGATCACATGGTCACGTTGATAGTAAATGGATGCTGTGGCCCATAGCCATCAATGTCTATTCTCGATTAAGAATAAAAATGCAGATATGTTGTCACCCCTGGTAACGAAGATGAAAGAAAGAGAATTAATTATTGTGGGCTTATTTTCATTACTGAAAGAACCACATTACACGATACAAGAAATGAGTTTCTCCTTGGTTTCATTCTGTTTTTAACGAGCAAAGATTAGTATATACAATATATACTAATCTTTATATATAATAGAATATCTTTATAGCCTGTTTTCTGTGTCTGAGATCTCCAGGATTTCAGCTAAAATATTTTTTATAGAATAAGACTGACAAACGAGCACATTGTCTACCTGATGGTAAGTGGATGTTGTGAAACATATACATCTACATTTATCCTCAATTAAGCATGAAAATGCAGATGCGTTGTCATTCCTAAGGACTAAGATGGAATGCCTCGTTTTCAATAAAAAGGGTCTACGGTTTTCTACACTTAACATACGAAACACAGCAAAATTGAGCTGTTATTTTACGCTGCGCTGGTTTATGAGAGCGTGGCCCTTCCCCGGTCGTGCCTGCAACATGGCTCTACCACTCGTAAATATGCCTGTTATGCCATGACTACCTGGCGCGTGATACCGCGCGTATGCTTGTCTCATACAAATAAATGTACGTTGTTACGTGACACGTGCTGCCGTGAAAGTACACTCGTCTTAATCACGAGCTCTGAGTAACTTATTTATTAACAAGTATCTCTCTATTTATGTGGAAAAATTTACATTAAAATTCAATATTGATGTTCGTGTTCGTAATGAAAATAAAGTAAGTGTTAGCTTTATTGTCAGCTATTCATGCTATCATGCATTCATATGCTTGTGCTAGGAGCGGTTCAAGAAAGTAATTCGATGGCGGGTTCAAAGCCACGATGTTTAAATTTCGCAGCTCATTTCCTTAACTACTGCTAGGCTTCTGTCGCTTATTCTTAGTAACTTTTTATTATTATAAGGTAATTGGACAGTTACACCATCCCGTAAATCTAAACAGTTTATTTATGACTCGTCTCAGGATTCAAACCGCACTCAAGATTTACGGCGCATGTGGATAGTTGCGGGATGTATGTCAAAATATATTAGGCCCAATAAATTTAGACATAGACATAGAAATAGACGTGCATTTATTCAGCAACATACACTCATACAGTTTTGATACAGAAAATAAAATAATACATAAAAACATCAAAGATAAAAGTAAATAACAAAAAACAGTCATAAAGTGATCCGATTGCATGAGTTAAATTATACATTTAAATAAAGTAATTTAAATTACATCACATTTACGTTTCTTAATTCATTAAATTTTACTTTAGATACATAAATCTAATAAGAGAATTACTAATAGTAACAATAATAATGAAAGTTTGGTATATTCACATTGTTATTATACAGCTGTTATTATTCTCGTATAAATAAGCATCTAGCCCGGCAAACTTTGTTTTGCGCTTTCAGTAGGTGGCTCCACGGAATAAATAATTGGTGGCGTGAAGAGTTTCACTTTCTTTTCGACATTTTATAGTAAAAATATAATTTTACTAATAACTTCAAAATTACATACATAACTTGTTACTCCTGGTGTGAACCTGATACTACTGGTACTAAAGTGCTGCCTGCTGGATGTAAGCTTATAACTATTTTGACCATAAAATTTCCTTAAGTTATGAGTTATTAAGATATGTATAAGATAAGCGGTTGATGGAAGTTCGGAAAGTACTGTTTTGAGCTAATCAGCACTGAGCACTTGGATCGTGAATACGTCCTTAAGTACCTTTTGTACGTGGTAGAGCATTGCTGCTATGTTAGTAGTATAGTTGTAGCACAAATGGGTCCGCTCGATCGGGGACGGACCACGCCCTCATAGAATACCAGCGTAAAATGGCAACTTGACACTGCTGTGTTTCTTATGGTGAGTGTAGAGAACCGGAGACCCATTTTACTAGAAAAGAGGCATTCCATCTTAGTCCTCACGGGTGAGGACGCATCTGCATTTTTTCAACTTTGATTTTGATTCTATATTGAGGATAAATGTAGATGTCTATGGATCACAGCAACCATTTACCATCATGTGTGCTCGTTTGTCACCCTATCCTATAAAAAAAGAAGACAGTCTATTTGATGTTTATAACAATTAACGTATTTTTACGAGCAGTCAAACAAAACTCTTCTGAAGGAACAAAAATTGACGTCAAAAGATGAAGTCATTGATATTTTTATAAAATAATTGTGACGAAATAGTACGCAGTCCACCTGATGGTAAGTGGTTGCTGTGACCCATAGATATAGACATCATCATCATCCTCGATAAGGAAACAAAATGCAGATGCGATGTCACCCCTGAGCACTAAGACGTTTCCAGAAACAAGGGACCTTTTTTCCATCGAGTAAACATATTAAGTAATTTAATTTTATGTTTATTTGACTACAAAAGCAATCAAGCATACTAATCAAAAGTTTTAAATGTAAAAGAAAAGTTTGGAATGATTTATTTATTTAATTATTAACAGAGATCTCATCTTATTATGATGGAAAATATCAAAAAATATATATTTCAATAAAAGACCCAAAACAACGGCTAATAACTTGAGCAACTAATAATAGACTTTTTTTCTTTGTTTTTTAAAAAACGTTTCCCCTACACTAGGATTTTCTTCTGTATCGGGGAGGCTGTTTACAAATATAAATTGCATAAAGACAAATATCAAGACTCGGAACAATTATTTGTTGGCCGTACAAATACTTAATAATACTACTAATAACCGAGAACTATGATTGCGAAGCCTTTAAAATAGATTTTACGATGGGAGTGATGGATAAAATGTAATGTAAAAAATGTAAAAGGATTGAATAAAATTAATTTTTCTTCTTAGTCACCACGGATGTAAATAATGTTATTTAAAATTATTAGTAAAATATGTAAGATTTGTAAGCTGAAGTGGCAATGGGCTGGCCATATCCTCGTAAGGCCCAACCTAAATTTAGGTCGATATACATTACGACCCAACGTACTAAAAATAAGTGCAAGTAGTTGCGGCCCAGAACTTTGGTTAAGTACAAAAGTGTGTAAATGTATTACTTTTGGTCAAATTATTTTAAGGGGTATTTCCTATACATAAAGTTACCTATTTCACGCAAAAAATATGTTGAAATAGCTTGTTCTTATTTTAGGTCACTGGGCCACTGTTTAATATATAACATTAGTTTGAATCAATCAAATCTATTCAGTTATTTATCATGGAATAGCAAATTATACCAGAAATAAAAATAAACTTTGTAAAAAAATATGTATTATTTTCTTCCTTCATTTTAAACCTTATTAATTAATAATTTTATGTAACAAAATTACAAAATTTTCTAAATCAGTCTCATTTTTAGCAAACAATGTATCTTCGCATTACACATGTTAATCATATTACTAAAATAATGTTCTTACTTACTATAATCAATGGCAATATTTCAAATAATAATATTCAAGTTGTCGTATCACACACAATACTAATTAGAAATATAGATACTTAAAAAAGAAAATTTTAAACAAATGTATCAATCAATAAATCTCAGTGTGGAAGTTATAAAAACAATTTCGTTCTTTAGTTAGACACAAGTGAATGTTGCACTTATTGCATATAATTGTGCTTTTCTTGTTGCATCCTGGTTTTCTGCACCTGTTTTGAACTTCTCCAGCCGACGGCAAATGGAGTGCACCATGAGTTCTTGAACTGGCGCTGGGAAGCGGTACAGCTGGTCTAGAGCGTTTAGGTCGAGACTGTTCTTCGTCTTCTGTTTCGGAACTAGTAGTGAAATTAGCAGTTACTAAAATTTCGGCTATTTCCATTTTAAAACTCCTCAGTTGCTGAATTTTTTTCACCGGGACATTTTTGCGTAACTCTTTTGATTTATAATTTAACCATGAATTAGTTGTAGCCAAATCAAATATGTGTGCGATAAATCGCGTTGTCCATTTTCTTGTTCGATATCTCGACGGCGCCACAGCTAAGAGATGATCAGCAAGATCGATTCCTCCCATATTAGAATTATATTGTTTTACTACTTCCGGTCTTGGTACAGTAATATACACTTTATTCTGTTTACACCATCTTTGGCAGGTGTCGGAAGTTTGGGCAGCATGCACAGTAGACAGGAAAGTGACAGGTTTGTTATCAAACCATTTAGTTATAGCTATATTCTTCTCATCGTTGACCAATACCTGACAACTCCCTCTCCCTGCTTTCTTTAAGTCTTTGTCCTCTTTGAGTATAAATCTTGCGGACTTAGGTACTCCATTCTTCATCAATGTACCAGCGCACATCGGGCCTCTGTTTTTTAATTCCACAATCAGTATCTCGGTGGTAAAGTATCACAGTAAATTATATGTCCCGGCAACAAATCCTCCGTTAAGGCAAGAACTGCCTTCTCTCCCAACCCGAATGATGTATCAGCATAAGAAGGATATATAGTCGCCCCCTGATATATATCAAAATCACACACTTCTCCAGTGGGATTCGTCAAGACAAAAGTTTTTAAACCTGTAGGATTAGGTTTACCTGGGCAATATTGCTTCATCCCACAGGCGCCCGTAAAAGGAATTATCATTTCGTCAATTGACAGTTTTTGATCCTTTGGTATAGAATGACAACCCTTAAGAATTTCTTTGATAAGAGGGCGAACTTTCCAGAGCTTGTCTTTACTTTTATCTTCGGCAGAAAAGTCGTTGTCATTAACGAGTTTTAAAGAATTCCGAAGAATGAAAAATCTGTTCCGAGACATATGATCAGCTACAAAAGCGACACGAAATTTGTGTTGCCAGTACATTCGGAGAATTGGATATCCAATACAAGACATGGCTAAATTAATTGCAATAAAAATGTAGCACTCGGGAAGTGTCAAATTTAAAAACTGGCCGTTTCTTGATAGATACATCTCATTGGATCTATCTACGATAATTTGCATCAGCTCATCATTTACGTATCGACGAAAATAATCAATTTTACAGAATTCTTCGTCATTAAGAGGTAAATACGATGGCTGCATAAAAGGAATTATATCAGGATTAAAATCTTTTTCTTTCCAACCTCCAAATTGTCCATCGTCATTGCCAATATCCTCGTTATCTTCAGCTTCCACTTGCTGGTACAATCTCCCACGAGATGAACTTGCTCTTCTACTACTTGCTCGAGAATTCGAAGAAATTCTTCGATCACGACGGCCACCTCGACGCTGTAAGCTCCTCCCTCGCGTAACAGAAGAATTAGAAATCGCAGGACTTGAAACTGTAAGCTCACCTTCAGAATCAGAAGACGATTCTGCTGAATTGTCCGATCGACGATTTTGGCCCTGAGGTCGATAATCCACATCATCGATATCATCATCGCCGTCATCATCTTCGAACTCGGATACGTCCAGATTAAGCTGATTTTCTATAGCTTCGTCGTCCATGGCTTAAACAAAAGAAAATAAAGAAAACACACAATGTCCTAAAATCATGACATAGAAATTAGGCTAACTTTTACAATAAAAACCCACCGACCTTATTTTGGGACATAGTTTTTATCGTTCGAATATTACGGAATTAAAATGACTTTGCTACGAAAAAAACATGTCGGAACAAAATATAATATATCCGCAACTGTTTGCAATACATTTTAGACATCACCATGTTATGATTATAAAGATATGAATAGATTTACTTACCAATATCCACGAGACTTCCGTTCACATGAGATGAAATGTCAAAAAGACAGATTCTTGGTTCTTAAATGTCAAGTTGACATTGCCAAAATTAGAGATGCGTTCATTGTTAATAGTTTTTTGATGGCAGATTTAAAATGGCGGGATTATTTAAACCAAAAATTACGTTCAAATATCATGTCATAATTTTAGGTCGCCGGGCCGCAATTTGACGATTTTAAAAGCTGTGTTGGGCCGGAATGCCAAAATATTTTTGTTATTAAATTAGGTCATTGGGCCTTACGAGGATATAGCTCGAAGAACCGGCAACCGATGGGGAAGAAAGGTTCTCGAGTGGCAGCATCACCGGTAGGCGAAGTGTAAGGCGACCCCCCTACTAGATGGAGTGACGACCTGATAAGACATGCAGGAAGTCGATGTATGCAGGTGGCTCAGGATCGTGCTTTATGGCATTATTTTGGGGAGGCCTATGTTCAGCAGTGGACTTATGAAAGGCTGTAATGATGATGATGATAAAAATATGTAGTACTTCACCGTGTATTGGCGGTGTAGGAATATCTACTACTCTTTATCGTCACTTGAGTGTCGTAAGAGGAGATAGAGGGAAACAAAACAGGAGATGGGTAACAGCGTCTATCTAGTATCAACTATAAAATAAAAAAACCACGGTGGTCAACCCGCATGCCATGCGTAGCAACTGTGGCAAATATACCTCTTATGGGTCAATATGTGAGGAAGCTTATGCTCAGCAGTGGAACTAGATGGGTGGTCAATTAATTTGTAATTTACTTATTAGTATTATGCTATAATTAAAAAACTTTATCATGGAAATGAAATTTTAGAGAAGGTGCTAGATAATGAAAGGCAAAGCGGAAAAAAATAAACAGAGAGATAAGAGACAATATATTATGCTTTTCCGTAATTTCGTTTACATTTTTGAGCAAAGATTTACCTTCCTATTGAGTAAGTAGTTCTATTACTTATATTACGTATGTATACTTTAGTATAATACCTGAAAATTTTTATTTAAATTTCCACGATGGTGAACTAAAATATTGAAAGGAAACGTTAAAGTTAAAGTTATAATACCAATTTGTAGACATGTAACGTTTATCAAGAAGCAATGAATTAATTTTGCGGACATTTTCTTCCCACTGTTCTCTGAATTATGAGAGGCCAGCAGTAGTATTATGGCTTATTGGTTATTACTTAAAGTAAAACTCATTTATCAGTTTTACGTTTAATTTTTGCCGCTAAGCAGCTTTGAGTCCACTGTTCTATTACCATTTGAAGAGTAGAACAAGAATATTAAGGCCTGGGAGTTGGGAATATTTCTACCTTAGTCCTGTGTGATAACAATCCACTGCTAGCTGTGTCAGTCTAACAAAATTGTGTAAAACAACATGATAATCTTCTTAAAACCGAAATTTTATCACGGCGGCTGATATCAACAAAGACTAGTCATTGCTTAGGTGGATATGATAGGAATTAACGAATCTGCTTTATTTCCTCGTTTTCATGGTGCAATGAGGCGGCAATACCACATGACCATATAAATAATAGTCGCAGGACCGGCATTAAGTGTTTTCCTAGGCGAGGGAGTGAAACTACGATACGAAACTACGATATATAATGATTGGGAGCATTACTTAAGCCAGGATATTGGCTTGCCAACCGTTTATAAACTAAGAGTAAGGACATTTTTCAGGACATCCATCCAGCAGTCGATCGAAAGTAATGAAATTGCTAACCCGTTTGGGTGACAGACGTGAGAGTATATGTAATAGGTTGGCTCGACCGGGGAAGGACTACGCTCCCACAGAAAACCAGCGTAAAATAGCAGCTTAACGCTGCTGTGTTTCGTATGGTGAGTATAGAGAACGGGAGACCCTTTTTACTGGCAAAGAGGCATTCCACCTTAGTCCTCACGGATGACAACGCATCTGCATCTTGAGTCTTTATTGAAGATAGATGTAGATGTCTATGGGTCACAGTAATCACTTACCATCAGGTGGACTGTGTGCTCGTTTGTCACCCTCTCCTATAAAAAAATTAATTGAGAAAGCTGGCAAAGTAAAAATGCAAAGTTTATCTAACTATAGTGACATTTACTGTATCGTTTGATCTCCCTTTAAAAACAACAAAGCAATCGAAAAACAATGTGAATTCTATTCAGAAAGATAGGCACGAGCGTTGACAACTCTAACAAATGATAAAAATGTCTTAGAGAAAATTATCCTGGTGATATTGATCAGGATACTTCTGTCCGAATTATGAGAGGCCACCATTAGTTATTACTTAAAGTAAATAGAAAATATCTATATTATAAAAAGTGTTTTCGTTTAATTTTTGCCGGTAAGCAGCAGTGATCTTGATCAGGATACTAGGATAAAGTTTTAAATTATTGTATTGTCATCGGTCTTTTATACGAGTTCAGATTTTCAAGTCAATCGGCCATCTAAAAGTTGGTGAAAATTTCATTAAAAGATTCCATTAGGTACATAGTTAGGTTGATAGATAGATACACGCGAAGATAACAAAAGTGTTTTAAAAAATCGACAAATGTACTCACCAGACTTTAGTAAGCTTGTTACACAGATTAATGAGTGATTGGGTGGGCTACGTGTTTGTTTGCTTCTTCTATACGGGGTGGCGATAAAGTTATCACATTAAATGAAAAGACTTATCCTATAAAACGTTCTTTGAACATACACAACTAAAAAAATATATAACAATTAACATTCTGGTCGCAATAGCCCTTTTTTTCGTTTTTTGCCTAGTTACTTAGGGACGGGAAAGTGTAGGTAAATAATTACCTATGTCGATGCCGCGTGAGCACTGCGTATCTGCCGCATCGTTGCCGCTTTCACATGTCACTTCTGATCAGTAAAGTAATATTATCAAGGTGATTTATTTCGTGTCAATTTTTACGCTATTTATTTTGTTTGAAAGATGCATTTTTTATTTTTGGTAGAATTGTTTATTTTATTATTTTAATCGACATATATGAATTTGTATATACCGCTGCGTCATTTAATGTGATAATCTAATCGCCACCCAGTATATGAAAACTAAATAGATAGTGTACCAAAAGTGTTATAAAATAATTATGAATTACAATAAGTGTTTGCTACGATATAGGTACATATACAGTCAAATCGCACAGGACCAATAGCAATCATGTTCCTAGGTTGATTGGTGACCAATGTGAAGTATCATTCATTCTAGTGGCACACGGTTCTCAGTTCTTGCCATAATAACAAACTATCTTCAAACTATATTTTTCGAGTTTATAATAATAATATTTTTTATATTCTGTCAAATAACAAAGATCCATTAATTTATCATATACATTACATATTAAATTAAATAAAAATTTCAGAATAAATAATAGTTAAAGCACGACTATGAATTAATTTAATTGGAAGCGCCGCAACTCATTCCTAAGTCAGTGCGATACAGATGACAAGGAAATGTTCGCCGCATTACCTCTGTGTTGGCGGGCTTCACATATATTAAAAATTTGTTTAATTTTTTTCGATGTTTCAATGATTCGATTTCAATGATTCAGGACGTTTTCTTCATGCAAGTATGTGCACTTAAAATTGCAATTAATGATTCAATTGTGCTGGCAAAGCACGTACTCTACTTTCTTGCGTACTATGAATTTTTTAAGTGACTGCTTCAGGTACACGATTTACCATTGCATTTTTTCTTTTTTTATAAAATATAAAAAATATAGGCTAAAATATTGATTTGACGGTATATTGCTACTGCAGCCAATGGATGTATGCAACCATCTTTAAATAAACAAGGATACAGATGCGTTGTCACTACTGCGTACTAAAATGAATTGCCTCACATCCTGTAAGTGTATTGGTTTTTTATAGCCTTCAGACCGGGACGCAAAAGTCCTACTACCTAATAAAATCAATAATTAAAAAATAAAGGAATAATTTTGTTTTTCTTTAATAACCCGATAACTTTGAAGATTATGAAATAAACGTGTAATATGTACAAGAATGATTTGCAAATATGGACTCATCTACGCGTGTTTAGCAACAAGGGCTAATGCGCCTGCTGTTTAATTAAGATAATGTGGTTTCACATGGGCTTTTCATGTAGCGTCGCTGTGGGATTTGTGAGCATAATTATTTAAAATGTATACAAAGTAGTCTAAAAAACATATATGAACATATTACGTGCATCCATTTCTTATATTTCAATTTGGTTTTCTAATAAATGTGTATTAGAATTTCTTAAATTACACCTATATGTATATAGTCTATTTGACGGAAAATACTACATACATAAATATATACATTAATGTAAATTACTTCCTCCTATTGCCCAGTCACCCTCTTTCTTATTTCTGCCGCTAAATAGCAGTGCTGGTCTTCAATCTTAATCCTTATTGGTGTCACTGTATACTGTTTATTTGAAGTTTGTTGCAGGTATTCATGGGCTGCAGTAGCCACTTATCCTCAGCTGGACTGTAATTTCATTTGTCACCTTTATTTATAAGAAAATATCCATATTATAAAAAATAATAAGAAATACAATGCTTCCATACGAAATTAGTATAAAATATGGTAAAAAATAAATACTTTATTATTTATTGTATTTTAATGGTGACTTATATTGAAATTGTCTGGATTATTCTGTAAACTCAATATCGAAGTCAGGTAAATGAGAAAAAATTATGAACTTTTCTTTTCACTAGCAACTTGCGGCGTCTAATCAACTAC